CTAGCACATAAAACATATCAGGTAGTAGCAAACCTAGATAATAGTCACAAAGACAATCATCTAATCAAACAACTCCTACTAGTGGGCCGGCATTGTGGCCGTAGACCCACTTCTACTGGAAGGTAACTCACCTCAATGTCTTGCAGTAACTGAACTATCCTCGGTGCTGGGATCAATTCTCCTCAAACTCCTACACATAACAGTCTCTTTTAGTTACTCCTTCCTATTCATATCCCCTTTAAGGGCCAATATTGGGTAATGGTCAAAGTCAAAGTCAAAGTCAACGCCCTGGTCAAAATCAACATCCTGTTGACTCAACTCGCTGAGTTGGTCCATCAACTCGTCGAGTTCCATAATTCAGAGAATTTCGAATTCGCGATATGACTCGTCGAGTTACCCACTAACTCGCCGAGTTTCTCCTTAGGACAGAAGTGGGACTTTTCCATTTGAACTCGTCGAGTCCTTCCTTGGACTCGTCGAGTTATTGACCTTTAAGTCCAAAACACGTCTAACTAGCTGAGTCATCTTATAGACTCAACAAGTTGCTAAGTAACAGAGAAGGTTGGGGGAACCACGACCCGACTCGCCGAGTCCTAAGAACGACTCATCGAGTCACCCATGATCCAAAACTATACAGTCGATTTCAGTCGGGCTTAACGCATCCAAAGCATAGATCTGGCCTCCTAGGGTCGATATAACACGTAAAGTTTCAAGCTTTACGTTCATGCATGGGCTATTTAGCTCAAAAATCCCTAAAAAGTGGTTCCTAAGATGCATGGGACTCCCAGGGCCATAAAGTTGGCACCTTTATGCCATGGAGTCCCTCAAAGGCTCTGGATCTGAAGTCAATACCACAAAACATGCTTGCATCCATGAATGGTTCCAAAAATGGCTCCTTAATGCCCTAAACTACTCCAAGAAGAAATCTAATAGATGAATGGTCAAGGTATAAACTTTATACCTCAAATGAGCTGGAAATGGAACACAACCTTTGGATCTACTTGCTTTCTCTTGAACTCCCAAGCTTCTTCTTCCTTCTCAAGCTTAAAAACCACTAAGAACACACAAAATGGCTCAAGAACACTCAAAATGGGTTTGGGTTTCGCATTAGGGTTTTATGGACTAAGGGAGGTGATGAGGGAGGCCACAATGGGGGTGTTAAGGTGTTTAAATAGGCTGCAAACCCTGAAAATTAGGGTTTCACTCTGGCAGGCCTACTCGTCGAGTCGAGGCTCCTCGACTCGTCGAGTAGACTTCAAGTCCCACGTCCAACATATCCAATTCCTACTCGACGAGTTTGGGGCCTCCAACTCGTTGAGTCCCATAGCAAATATGAATAATTTCTTATTTAAATACGTACCAGGAATCAGGAGTTACAAGTCCAAGAGATAGATATTCATTCGAAGGAACATAGAAGTTACAATTGTTACCTAGGATGAAGAGATAACGTATGGAGTCATTATACAAGCCCTATTTTGTTGATGATTCCGGGACGTAATCATCCTAAGGGGAGATAATTGTAATGCCCGCAGATTCGGGTTAGTCAATTTAGAGACAATGAGCGTCAAAAATGACTTTTTGATAGAAGATTATTTAGAATAAATAATCTTAACCAAGTTATAGTATATGTCACAAAGGTTTCGTACATATAAAGAACGCCAAAATCCGAGTTATAACGAAAAAGTTATGACATGTCGAATTTTAAGGCTAAACCGGCACGACACCGCATAACGTAAAAAGTGAATTTTTGATAAATTACTTTTTAGCCTTAACAATCTAAATGAAAGTCGTAGTATACGTTAAACCGAGAAAGTGCATAAAAAGAACGTCCAAATCTGACTTCGTATGAGGAAGTTATGATTTTTCTAAGATTTAGCATAGTAGTGCACAGTCAGGAATTCGAATTTTAGATCGATAAAATTTTGGCCGACGTAAACTAAATGAGAATTGAAGATCTCATTAATAAGAGTTCAACGATAAAAAAAGACAGACGAAAACGGAGTCCGTATGTAAAAGTTATGAATTTTACACGACCGTTTAACAGTATAATCTTCTCATACTGTTAAATTTAAAATCCGTCGAGAACTAGACAACGGAGTCAAAAGGATAGTTGTAGATCTTGTCAATACCTACGCGTGGATATAAAGAACATCGAAAAAGAAGCTCGTATGCAAAAGTTATGGGGTTTAGAAGTCGGCAGGGTGCTGCTGCGAAGAGGGTGACGTGGCTGAATCTGGGCCATTGCTTTCTCTCCAAGCCTTGCCACCAGAGGGTGACATGTGGCACCAACTCGACGAGTTGGAGTCCCCAACGCGATGAGTTGAGCAATATTTCAGCCTATAAATACCTTGCGAAGGTGCCTTCATTTCTCACACCTTCCACTCTTTCTTTCTCACTCTAAACTCTCTCTAAACCTCCCAGAACCCCCCTAAAGCCCTATGAAACTCCCTTAGCGCTAGAAGAAAGCTACGGAGAGCCCGACGGCTCCGAGAAAAAGAGCTTTTCGGCTCAGAAGCTCTGCTCCGGCGGAGCCCGGTGTACTCTAAAAACCATGGCAGCTATGAGAACAAGCAGACTCACAACCTGTAGGTGTTGTGAACGATATGTTCACCCGGTGTACTCTTAAAACCATGACAGCTATGGACTTAGTGCCTCATAAACGAACATTGGCAGCTATGGACTTAGTGCCTTATAAATGGACGTTGGTAGCTATGGATTTAGTACCCTACAAATAAATATTGGTAGCTATGGATTTAGTACATTACAGATGAACCCTGGCAACTATGGAGTTAGTGCCTTATAAATAACATCGACAACTATGGATTTAGTTCCTGTTAAATAAACATGACAACGATGGACTTTGTGCTTATTTCTTAGGACAATCCTTAGGAATGAATGAGTGGATAATAGTTGATTCTTAGGGTAGATCCTTAAGAACTAAAGAAGATAATGGGGATGGGTAATTGGGTTAATTGTTTGCTGATAAAACATAATAACTTTATTATTGTGGGTTGAAAACCCAATGTACTCACCAGGTTTCCCAACCTGACCCACTGAATTTATTTGTATCACAGGTGTCGATATGAAGCTACATTACACTGAGAGATTAAGGAGATATGAATCACTAGTGTAAATAAATGTAAGGTCTGTTTATGCTTATGTTTCTGTATTGACGATGACATCCCAATGTTTTATAATGAATAAAATACATTTCCTCGGAAATGCTTTGATAACGTATTTATCATGTTTTACTTGGAACAAATTCCGCAACATTTTCCTTTAAAAAGATACTCTGATTTTCAAAATAAAGCATAAACAAATCGGTCTTTTCTGGCCGTGAAAATGAGGATATCACAACAACACCCTAAAAATTAGGGTTTCTTAATTAGCCACCAACTCGTCGAGTTTTCCCTCTCCAACTAATCGAGTTGGTCCAAAAATATGCGTGGCCAAAAGACTTTCAACACGTCGAGTTGAGGCCATCAACTCGACATGTTCCAAGGAAAAATTGTCTTATTAATAAAAATTCTCATACCTGAGAATCGGGATGTTACATAGGCTTTGCTAGGTTCACGCGCAATAGATGAACTATTTTTTAGTTGTTGTATCCCTGAAAACAAACATCTGTTTGCAGTGTTTTTTTGCTTCTACCAAAGGTGGGTTTATTGAACTTTTACGCGATTAAGCGTTGTGTGGATACGAATGCACCATCGGTTGATCATAAAATTTTAGGGATCCTTTTGCAAAATAATTTTTTTATGTAACTGAAATTTCAATTTTAAAACCCATGTAAACAAGAATTAAATATTTTTTCGGTTACAAAGTTGGTGTATAAATACACCTCCTCTCCAACCATTTTAAGACAAAAAATTCAAAGTTGTAACCTCTAATCTCATCCTTCTATTGCTACGTTTTGCTTGTCCCAAGGTAATATCTGGGCTTTGCTAGGTTTGGACGGTATAGAAGAACAGAAGAACAATTCTAGTTGTTGTATCCTGGAAAACAAACGTCTGATTGCATGCATATTTGTTTTAAATACATTGTGTTAAACACGTACATCGGCAATTTCTTATTTTGTTTGTTTTCGTATATTTTTGTAATATTTTCCCCACAAATTATTTGCAGAAAATGCTATATAAATAATCACTTGTCATATTGAGAGTTGAGTCAAAACATTTTTATGGTATGTGGTATATGCTTTCTAATTGACTAAATTATGAGACAAATGATGCAACATCCATCCTCATGTGTATTCCCCGTCAGGGTTACGACCCCATGGACATTTGACATATTATGTTGGGTGTCCAGTAACGTTTACTCAGATATTGACTATTATTACTGTTGCGGACCCTATAACACATGTTTGCATGTCGCAAACATGGTGAGTCATTCCTTTATCATCGTGTCACATCATTTCCATGTATGTTTCTCGTGTCCTTATTCTCTTGAAGCTTCCATTAACGAGTTCTAGGCAAAGTGGAAATTCTCCATTTATTGTGAGTTTGTGACTATTCTCCATAATTTGGATATGTAAGTGTATATTTTACATGCATTTGACATTTGTAGGTATGTGCATAGTTTCGTCAAGAGATCATCCCAACCCCATTCTGAAACCATATTATACAGTAATTTGTAAAGTCCCAAGTAATTTACTATGCAACGAACAATGATATAAATACAAAGGAAATGAACCACAATCCCTTTATACTAGGTAGGTATATCAACGAATTAAAGAAACACAATAAATAACTTAAATAGATGGATAGCGTTCCCTTTGGGAAATAAATGATGTTGGACAAACGATAACATTATTACAAGACACTAATTTGATTTAGGTTTTCTAAATTTCATTTGTATATGTAAAGTTGCAAATAATAAGTTTTTGCTCTAAAATATTTGTCAAATAAAACAATATACTTTTGCTTATAAAAACATAAAGATAAATATTACTAGTATTAAACTAAAATCAATGGGCTTATAAAGAATAGTAGAAAACAAAACACGAACCCCATTTTCATCCCGAAAAACGTTGGCACGAGCTTTAAGAAAACCATTCGAGAGGGAAGCCGTGTCTCGTTTATTTCAAACAAAACCCTTTGTCTTCTAATCGATTTTCTATGTCATAATTTGATCTATGGGTGCCACAATGCATGTGAAATCTGACTCTGATTTGACCAGTGTTGAAGCTCTATCGCCGCCGCGATCACCTCGCCGGCCGCTCTACTACGTCCAGAGCCCATCCAACCACGATGGCAACGACAAGATGTCATACGGGTCCAGCCCATTCGGGTCTCCGGGTCACCCCGCACACTACCACTGTTCTCCCATTCACCATTCCCGTGAATCTTCCACTTCCAGAACGTTTTCCGCCTCCCTCAAGAACGCCGTCGTAAGGGCCCACCACCATGGCAACGGTGGCAGAGCTCTCTCTCCATGGAAGAGGATTGAGAATGGTGATTTGGAGGAGGAGGAGGAGGATGACGATGACAAAACTGGTGGGATTCCTCTGAGGTTTTACATCGTTTGGTTCCTGTTGTCATTCGTCGTCTTGTTTACGATCTTCTCTTTGATTTTATGGGCTGCTAGCGTTCCCTACAAACCCAAGATTTTCGTTAAGGTGCGAATTTTGATCTCCTCGAACTACACTTCATACTTCATAGAGTGTTGTTTTTAACATTTTGAAGTTGAATCGTTTGAGTTCGTTTCTTTGGTTACTATACCTATTGAGTCAACTCGGTTGAGGAGCTGTAATATGATTACGCTTCCAAGGAAGTCATTATAACGAGTCTTTGTTGACTTTAGTTATGGGTTATCTTTTACGTTGTCAAAATGGAAAAAAAAGGTTCCCATTTGGTAGAATTCCGGGTTAACAAAGTTCTTCATGTACAAGTTTCATTGTAGAGAAAGGGTTGAATTATGTCAAATTTGAGTTGACTCGGACGTAGGATTCTTAATATCTGAGTTAACTCAGTGATTTAACTCTTCAATTTCACTCGTTACTTTATGTCAACAGTTGCAGCTTTAATCAGAATTTAAATATGAAAGACTTATCATTAATAATTTGGGTGCCTTTCTTTTGTGCAGAGCATTGTGTTTGACAACTTTAATGTCCAATCTGGGATGGATGCGACCGGAGTACCAACGGATATGTTAACTTTGAATTCAACGGTCAGGATCTTTTACCGGAATCCGGCGACTTTCTTTGGCGTCCATGTCACCGTCACTCCTCTCGAAATCCATTATTATCAACTCAAGCTTGCTTCCGGCCATGTAAGTTCAATTCATCAATGGATTCTTCTTATATTTAGTATTTACTATTCTTTTTATTTAAAAAAAATTATGGATTATATCATCATCCACTAAATTTTATCCAACACTTTAGATTCAGGTTTGATCTACCATCTTAAAGGTTATAAAGGCTTTAAAAGTTATAAAAAGGAAAAGTTTAAAGATTAGAACTTTGAGAATATAATATTGCACATTTTCATATTTCCTTTAAAGATTAGTTTAAAAGAGCCAACTACATGCTCGTTTTCAACAAATCTGATCGGCTTGTTGAATAATATATTTGTTATATGCCTACGTGGCATGATGTCATGTTCATGATTACTACAACTTGAACCATACAGGATTTTCCCAACACAAGAATCTCATAGTGCATGCAGTGTGAACTTGTTATTTGTGTAACTTTAGTTGTACATTCTTGATTCTTCTATACGATTGGACTTTCACTACAACCTAAGCTTTTACCCATAACAAGAATCTTGATGGTATGGGCACTTGTAATTAATCCAATTTTGTTACAGGTTCTTGATGACTTTGGACATAAGTCACATAACTTTAAAGCTTTAATCTTTTAAACTAGTTGAAATAGGATAAAGAGTAGACATAAAAAACTAAAGGTATGTTTGATGTAGTCTTTTTTTTATTAATCTTGCATAAAAAGCACAAAAGCATTCATTTCAATTATATCGAAATGTAATGGGCACCACCCTGTGGTCAACATTGTTGTATTTAATAAGAATATATGCTTCGGGGTACGTAGTATTATTGGTTATAGATTCAAGAAAGTGAAGTCACATTTCAAAGGCAGCAGATTGTTGCAAGTTTTGGTTCATGTGATAGATAGAGGTACAATTTTCTAGACATTTTAGGGCCCTTTAGTTTTATTACACTGTAGCTAATGGACCCCACACTGAAAATGAAATGTGAAACCCCCTGTCATGCCTTTGTCACGTGACTTTCATGAGTGGGCGATATAGTCTTTTCCGATGAGAGATTCTTCAACAGTTTGTTCATTTGTTTTGATGATTGATTGAAACAGGTGAAGAAATTTTACCAATCAAGAAAGAGCGAAAGAGTGATTGTAGCACAAGTTTTAGGGAATCAATTGCCAATGTATGGTGGTGTGTCGCCTTTCAATGCTGCCATTGGACACCTCAAGAATGTAATAGTTCCTGTTAATCTAACGTTTGTGATGAGGTCAAGAGCTTACATATTGGGGAGACTAGTCAAACCTAAGTTCTATAGACATGTTTTGTGCCAAGTCACATTACGAGGAAACCACCTAGGCAAGCATGTGAATTTGACTGATTCTTGTACTTATCAGTATTGATTCGTGGATATATTTGTATCCTTTTGTTTTGGTAGGGAAATTGAGTACATAATTGAATTGTTCAAGTTAAATGGATCGGAGATATTTGGTTACAAATTGCAAGATTTAATTTGTTGAGATTTTTTTTTGGCAAGAAATTGATTCGAGTTTAATTTGTTGGTAATGTTTTTTCATGCTTATTTATTGTGTAACAATGTGAAAAAGAGACGAATACCAGCAATAAGATTGAAAGTAGGTTTGTGAAAAGGAAAAAAAAAAGAGTGGTTGAGACGTATATCTTGCAAATGAGCTCCTGCATGTGAAAGGATAATCACTTGTATGTGACAAAGGGAAAAGGAGACAGATACGTGCAGTAACACCGAAAATATGATTGTAAATAAAAGGGACATGAGTGATCATGCTCGTGCAGAAGCAACAAACGAAGATATTGGCATAAACAAGTTGCAAAAACAAGCTAAAAGAAAGACAGTAAAATAGAGCATCATGCGTAAAGCAAGTTCTACAATACTCATATACTGCTCCATTATATTGATATATATTTATGTGCCGTTTGTTTTTTCGAAACGAAAATTCCTGAAGTCGAAACGAAAATTCCTGAAGTCTTCGAAACGAAAATTCCTGAAGTTTACGGACTACCTCTGCAACTCTCTGCAGAAGAGATGGACCAAACGGCTGAAACCTGTAATAAGAATCTTGTTTGTTTTTTAATATTTCCAGACTGCTGCAAAAAACTAAAATTTAAATAAACTGATTTTACAAAATTAAAATAGTTTTTCAACACTAAAATTTCAATAATCAACACCGAAATAAAATTCATTATATTTTCTATAAAAACATTTAATACTATTAAATACTATTTACAAATTAAATGAAATAACATTAAAATTACATTGTATTAAATTAAACTTCAATATTCTCTCAAACATTTCATCGAGTGCACAACCTGTTTCCTTATTAAATTACTACCACAAGATTCCCAGTCAAGAACTTGCAATATGTTCATTTCTATTGGCTCTTTTATGCAAATTTGTAAAACCGTAACTATTTTATAGAAAGTTTTATGCAATACGTTCAAGAACTTGTTTCCCTCTTAAATTACTACCCTGAAACAACACCTATATATTTCAGCAAATTAGAAACACCATTTCAGCAAATCAGAAATCAAAAATCGATTTCAGAAATCAGGAGCATAAAATCGATTATAGCACATCTACATCAGAAATCATAACAAAAAAACCTACCTGTCGATTTCACGAGGAAGACGTTGACGAGAAGGGCTGATGACGATGGTCTGTGAGTGGCGACAATTGGCTGAGGAGGAAGAACGACGAGGAAGGAAGAACGATGGAAGTTGTTTTTTGATGAGCGACATTTTTTTCCAATGTACCATTTTTTTAGGTTTAGGTTAGGAAGAGGCTTGAAAAGACAAGCCCAATGTTGTATGGGGCAGAGGACGCACATATGTTTTTTAATCATAAGACTTCTAAAAAACAAAATGTTGCGAGATGGAAAGTGTTGCGCGTGTGCTGCGTCGCGTAACAATAAGTGGTCAGAAGAGGATTTTTACAAAAAACAAACACCCCCTTAGAGCGATCGGTATGGGCCAAAACGAGAAACGACGCAGGTGACGTGGCGGTGCGCAACGCCGTCTTAACGGGGGGGGGGGGGGGGGGGGGGGGAACACCGCCCCCCAATTCGTTGCATCTCATTCTTCAATTCTCGTGGCCATCGAAACGAAGTGAAACGGGAAAAAATTACCGTTGTGGCTCTTATGACCGTTTGCAAACGGTCACATTCAAACAATTTTTTTTTTTTTTTTTTACCTTTTTACCTATATATATACATATACTCATTTTATTTCAAAATTTACATCTTTTTTAACATTCTATCTATACTTTTATAAACTTTCTTACTCAAAAAATGGAGCAAAACCTAAACACCTCCCCATCATCAAACCCAAACACACAACCAAACACAACCTCGCCTCTCGGATTTGCGGGTTATGAAGGTTATTTCAACCTTTTATCGTCTCAAGGCTCACCACAAATCCTATACCAAGGCGCCGCTTTCAATCCCGCTTCACCGCCACTACAGTTTCCCAACTCACCTTACCTTCAACAAAATTTATTTGGTCAAAACCCAAATTTACAACAAAATCTTTTCCCTAGTTTTGCTTCCATGCAACAAACAACCAACCAACCATCGCCTACAACACAACAATCGGTTGAAGTGGTAGCGGGAGGTAGTAGAAGAGGGAAAGGCAAAGGGAAATCGATAGCGGTTGAAACAGAAAGTGCAGACGTTCCACAATGGTGGACACCGGATGAGGAATATGCTTTGACGGCGGCTTGGTGTGCTACTTCAAAAGACGAACTTCGCGGAAATGAAATGAAAAAATGAGCTTATTGGGGGGCGGTGCTCGACAAGTTTCACGCTATTTTAAAGAAAACTACGTATCGCAACAATGACATGTTGAGCAGCAAATGGGGTCAAATAACTAAGCAGTGCAGCAAATTCAACGGTATTTACAACCGGCTTCAGGCGCAACAGCAAAGCGGAACCAACGACTTTGATTTGTTCAAATCTGCTAAGGAACAATATCGGATAGAAATGGGACATGTTTTCGACTTTGAAAAATCATGGGAGTTATTGCGTGCGAATCCAAGGTGGAATAAAACGCCTACATCGTCGGAGGTTCAATCCAAAAGGTCTCGCAATTCTAGCTCGGTCGATGTGTCGGACGCACAGACTCACATCGACCTTAAAGCCGACGACAATGAGATCCCGGATGATATCCAAGAGATATCCCCACCACGACGACCGCCCGGACGCGACAAAGCGAGGCGCGCTGCAAGACATGCGGAGGAGGTGGAGACGAGAGCAAAAGAGGGGGCGGGAATGAGAGTGAAATTCGACGAGCACAATTTATTAATAAAAGAAAAAAATGAGTTGAAACGTCGTCATTTGGAGTTCCTGGAAAGGCAGGCACGGGAGAAGTAGGAGCAAAAAGAGAGGGAACTAATGACACATCAGTTGTCAATTCTTCGGACGAGCGAGGAGGGTTTGGCGCCTGCTGATCTAGCGGTGCTACAAGTGATGAAAGAACAAATTAGGAAGAAATATTTGGGTTAATTAGGATTGTTATGTGGTTTTAGTAGTAATTTGAATGGTATTTTAGTTATGATTTTAGGTTTAAAATTATGTTTTTTTTAATTGTAATTGTAATTTTAGATTTCAAATATTATGTATTTTTCTTGTTTTTAAAATTTTTATGTTTTATAAAATATATATTCATGTTAGTGATTAAAAAAAATGCAAAAAGTAAAAAAAGCGAAAAAGTAAAAAAAACAAAAAAGTAAAAAAAAACGAAAAAGTAAAAAAAAAAACCCAATCTCAAAAAAAAAATAAAAAATAAAACATATTTATTTTCAAAATGTTGGTGTTGAATCTTGTTGCCCATTTCCCCACTTGGTGTTATAACACCATTTGCTTATGTGGCATGTGAGGTGGCACAATTTGGTGTTGCACCTTGTTGCATACACCCAATGCTCTTAGCATTCATACTTTCCTATCTAGGTCATGTCCGGCGAAAGAATTAGTTTTATCACTTCCTTCTTAGTTGACCCTTCCTCCTCTCGTGCCATCTACAAGGATCTACTACGCTCCTGCGAATGCAATTGTCGAGTTTTCTCCTACATACATAGATATAACTGATATCATTTTAAGTCGGTCTGGGGTCAAAACCGAAACAAATCCAATCCACCGAATCCAAAAATAAAAATAATAGATAATGAAAAAAAAAAGACAAGACTATCAAAGTTACCAAACCACATTGGCTATTTATGTAATTTACTCTATTTTCTTAATCTTTATTTTTTAGAGTAAATTACACGAATCGTCCCTTGTCCAGGTGCCAAAAGGCACAATCAGTCCATATTTTCAAAAATTAACTCGGAATGTCCCTCATGTCGTTAAAAGTTGCACGTGTCATCCCTTGCGAGACATGAAATGACTATTTTGCCCTTTTTATTCATTATTTATTTATTTTATTTTTCTTACAGTTAGATACAATATACAAAATAAAATAAAAACCCCATCCTGCCGACCTTATGTAACCCTTTACCTTCTAAACTCTCTTTCCCCTAAAGCAAAATCATCACCACCGTCAGAGAACCACACACCACCGTCGACCACCGTGACCACCATCAACCATCACCTTTTTTTTCTCTCAGAAACACCATAGACAACCTTCTCCCCCCATTCTTCTTACCATCGGTCCTTAAGCCACCACTGTCGACCACCGGGTCTTGTAGAAACACCAACCATAGCAAGAGAGATGGAGATGGAGCCGTCATCGTCACCTGTTTGTAGATCTACACTCCAGGTGGTGGTAGACTCGATTTCTTCCAACGAGATTAACAATGGCATACTCGATTTCTTCCAAGTTGAAACTCTATAGCGAATTTGATTCAACACAAAAGCCTCTGGTAATATTCCGGTTAGATGTACCTTAGATCTATGGTTTTAAACTGAGATGGAGGTGGATATAGGGTTTCGAACGTAGATAGAGGCGGAAAATAGCAGACCCATTCTTCCTTTTCTACCGGGTAAGGATGAGGGTGAAGACAGTGATGGTGGTGAGAAGACGAAGGGTGTTGGCCGGAGTGCAGATGAATGGTGGTGCGCAAACGAGGGGTGGTGTGTAGACGGACGACGGTGGTGGTGACGGTTGTTGGGACCATGGCCTTGCTCTTATGGAGGTTGAGGCACGGTTATGCGATATAAAGAAAGAAAAAAAGGAGATGTGTGCTCGTTGGTGGGGTTACGGAAGAGAGGAGAAGGTGGGTGAGTAGATTTCGTTGTGGTGGCATCATGGTTGTCAAGAATCATTATTGAGTGATATTTCTAATAACATATGATCCTATAGGGTCACACCTTTATCAAGTTGACACATTTTGTACATTTATTATTAATATGATTATTAATAAATAATATCAATTCTTGTATTTAATTAGGGAATAGTTATTGTTTTGTGAAAATAATAATTAAAGAGAGTATAACTAGTTTTTATATCATATGGT